GTGCAGAGTAACCAAAAGAGAGCTGGGTTCAATCTCTGATCAAGGCACATACAAGAAGCAATCAGTGAACTCATAAATAAGTGGAACAACAAATCTCTCTTTCCCATTCTCTCTTTCTCTGCAGAAATAAATTTGTTATTCATTTCTCTTACAAAATCTGTCAGGAAAATAGCTTGGATAATAATTGGCTTTAAAAATCTCCAAGGATCTACAAATTCTGATATACTTTTAAAAAATATATATTTTATAGATTTTGTACAGAAAGGAAGGGAGAGAGATAGAGAGCTAGAAACATCGATAAGAGAGTCATCGAACAGCTTCTCTTGCATACCCGCTACTGGGAATATGTCTGCAACCAAGATACATGCCCTTGATCGGAATCGAACCCAGGTCCCTTCAGTCCCCAAGCCGACGCTCTATCCATTGAGCCAAACCAGTCTGGCAAATTCTGATATACTTTCATTCACAACTCTGATTGTTATTCTGGAATGTTGTGTCATACAGAAAGGATAGGGTTCCATGTCAATTGCATTATAGTCAGATCTCTAGTCATGTCATTTTAAGATGGATTTTCTTTGTCATTTAGAGACAGTATTATTTTATTATGATACATTTACAAAAATGTTACATCTTCTGAAAAATCTGTGGAAAGGATTCTGACTTATTTTAAATTACATTTTCAGTCATACCCTTAAACTGGACAAAGATAACTAAAACTGGAGTTATAAAAATCAGGAGAAACAAAAATTGGTTTTGGAACTGAATGAACTGAAAATAATTGTAGTTTCGGTGACTTTTTTTTTTTTTTAAATATTGCTGATTTTTTATCTTTCTGTTTTCCAGACATAAGAAAACTTGCTTCTTTTCTTAAAGCAATTTGGTGAATTGTACTTTCATAAACAATATTGAGGCACTTATATTTTTCTTTCTTCCTGATCCCTCCATAATTTGAAAACTTTTAATAAGTATTATTAATGTCATGGCAATATGTTTGTTCACATAAATCCAATAAGAATCTAATTTCTTCACAGGACATAAAACAGTTTCCAATTATGGTTTATTAACCAAGACTTTGACTGAAATGTCATGTCTGAGAGAGAAAGCCAGGAATCTAGATGTCTGCAGAAAGCTTTAAGAAATGAGGATTGTTTTTAAAGCTGATAGAAGCCCCTGGGATAAACGTCCTGGTACCATGCTTATTCATATGATTCATGGCAGTCTTTCTTGGTAAGGGGTAAAGGCTGCTTTCCTGAGAGATGGCAAAGAAAGAACCTCAAGACATTTGTGGGCCTCAAGAACTTGAGGATTGCACCTTAACCTATAAGTATCACACGCAAAACCAGATGGCAACATTGGCTTTTGTGCCCTGAGGGGTTGACTAAAGCTCAATTTATTCTCGTAGTGTTTGTGTAAATAATTGATAAGAATTAGCTAGCAAATAATTGATAAGGGTCCACAAAGGATAGAAGACTTTTTGGGCTGAGCAATTAAAGCAGCCCTGACCTGAGCAGCTAGGAGAGCCATGGGGATAATAAAACATCTCCAGCCAGGACAACAGGCAGAGAACCATAAGGGAGAGCAAAAACAACTCCACCCTGAACAGATAAGACGGCTATGCTATGTGAAGGGCACCGTGAGGGCTTTGAGCTTTGAGACTAATGCTATGTAGCAAAATGGCCAATGAGAAGAGCATGAGGGTCCCAAAGTAAGGAAAGGGCCGATAAGAAAAGATCACATTCAGACAAAGAGCTACAACCTTTATAAACCCGGAGACAAAGAGAGATTCAGATTATTTTGATTTTTTTTCCCATTAGAGAGAAAGGGAGGGAGAGCAGGCCTTTTCCATTTGGGGGCTCCTCCACAAGGGTCCCCTTTGGGGACATCCTGCCCTCCTGGAGTTTATATGTGCTTCCAATAAACGTCTACATTTTTATTAAAGAAGTCTATTAACCCATGAATTTATTCTTCAACTAAGTCAATGAAATATGGAGCAATCCATGAAGATGGTGATGCTCTGGGGACCGGCCTGTCCCTCCTGTGGGAGAGTCAGCTGACAGTCTTTCTCCTCTCTGACCCCAGTCCCTGTGTCCCTCAGGGAGGCAGGGAGACGTCACACCCTGTGGAGGCAGGGCCTCAGCCTGGCCGCAGGAGGCAGTTACTAAAGACATACTGTCCCTCCCTCCTCCCCCTGAGTGATTTCAGTCTGTCTCTGAGGAGGGAGGCAGACAGGCAGGCCGGGACCAATGCACATCAGCAGCAGGCACTTTCCATGTGAAACCAATCCCACAGGCCTGAGAGTTGATACTACCCTGTTCCCCCGAAAATAAGACAGTGTCTTATATTAATTTTTTCTCCCAAAGTTGCGCTAGGTCTTATTTTCAGAGGATGTCTTATTTTCGGGGAAACACGGTAACTGGGGAAAGGATAGGGGTAGGGTACGCAATGAGAACAGAATCATAGTGGATTGATGGCTAGTCACTGCACTACCTATGGATAGGAGATTTTTATCTCTTGGATAAAAAAACAGAGGCACGAAGATAAATTGACCTTGAAGTCCAGATGGCTCCAGCATTCGGAGAGAAGGTACATTTTGAGAGCAGATCAAGGACAGGCACGCTGAAGGGGGACAAACGTCTGGGGCTCATCTTTGCGAGGACAAAGTTAGAACCAGGCCCTGGAATCTCACACAGCTGTAGGTTTCCCCACCCTCCAGCCCTCCAGCACGGCTGTGAGATGAGACGAGAGAGCGGGTTTTCAGGGAGGGTTATACCGGCCGGAACGCCGGCATCTGAGATTCAACCTTGTCTCTACTAATGGACTCTGGTGCGTCAGCCGCCGATCCAGACCCGGTTCCAAACCTGAGCTCTCAGAAAGCGGGCATATCCCTCCGCCCACATCAGCTCCCCCATCACAGCCTGGCATGGAATTGAGTTCACATTCCAAGCTCACGCCACCGTAAATTAAAAGAGAAATTCCTGAGGCCCCGCAATAATCTTGGGGCACATGCCCAGCTCACGTGGGGACAAGGTTGTTTTTTTTTTGTTTGTTTGTTTGTTTTTAATTGACTTGAGAGAGAGGAACATCAATTTGTTGTTCCACTTATTTATGCATTCGCTGGTTGATTCTTGTATGTGCCCTGACCCGGAATTGAACCTGCAACTTTCAGGACAATGCTCTACCAGCTGAGCTACCCAGCCAGGGCTCGGGGGATATGTTCTGAGCCTGGGGAAAATTAACTGGCCTCCCCAGCAGGAGGAGTTTCTTCATCTTCTTTGAACGCCTGGATGAAATGCAGGAGAGGCAACTGCCCACTGAACTGCCAACCAAAAGCAGCAGCACAGGGACCTCTTGCAATCCCACCGCCTCTCCTCGGGACTCTGCAGGAGGGTGGAGCTGTGGGCCGCGATGCCCGCGTGAGAGCAGGCCACCTGGTCACCCAGGGCTCTTTGGTTTACTTCACAAGAGGGAAAAGTGAAGTGCTCTCCCTCTCCCTGCCCTTTCCCTCACTGCTACCGACTCCTCGCAGCAGCTGCCCCCGGTAAGCAGGGCCTGGCCCCCAGTAAGCAGGGCCTGGCCCCCGGTAAGCAGGGCCTGGCCCCCGGTAAGCAGGGCCTGGTCCCCTGTAAGTAGAGCCTGGCCCCTGGTAAGCAGGGCCTGGCCCCCGGTAAGCAGGGCCTGGTCCCCTGTAAGTAGGGCCTGGCCCTCGGTAAGCAGGGCCTGGTCCCCTGTAAGTAGAGCCTGGCCCTCGGTAAGCAGGGCCTGGCCCCCGGTAAGCAGGGCCTGGCCCCCAGTAAGTGGAGCCTGGCACCCCGGTAAGTGTCCGAGTTGCCAGTGCAGCTTGGTAAGTGGTTCCAGACCTGAAGCTGCGGTAATAGCACCTAGTCAACCTCCAACCCTGTAAAGCAGTGATTTTCATCCCTTTGTACTCGTGGCACATAATTAAGACGATTCTGCAGCACACACAAATATATATTTTGCAGATCTGGCTAAAGAAGAAAGTATCTTTGTGACTCATTCACACGGAGGGCTGCTGTCATTATTGTCACCTGGCACTCTGAGGGGAGAGGTCCGCGCCCCTCGCTAGCCAGGCCTGCGTGTCTCACACTCCCTTCGGCAGCTGGCTGAACATCACACGACACAATTCACATGCTGGGGCTTTCCCGTGCTGTCAGCCGGAATAAAAACATAAACATTTAAACCCACAGACGCAGCAGCCATGGCAGCATCCAGCTCGACTTCCCCCGCGGCCCCCATGCTGATGCCCGTGAGAGCGCCCCCTGGGCCAGCACTGCGGAGGGAGGAGGGGGAGGAGCCCTCAGAGCAGCCCCCGCCGGGTCTCAGAACCTCACACGAAGGGAGAAAACAGGTGGCACCTCCTGATCGCAGGGAGACAGGGTGCCGCCCGCTGCGTGGGGGTTACCCCAACTTTATCATCCCGGCCGTCAAATGTGGAAAGGCCACTTCCTCCGGCTCTCCCAGCCCTGGCTCTCTGGGCACCCACCACTAGAAACCCCAAGTGCTGGCTCCAGCGGCCTCGGCTCAGCCTCCCCCGCCTTCGGAATAACCGTCTGTCTCCTCTTTTCCTTCCCAAGCGCCTCCAGGGCCTCTGGCCTGAGATCAGACCCAAACGAACATTAACAGGATCGTTCCCACTGAGTAACACCTCACACACAAGGACAGACACGTGGGACATCTTTTCAACAATTCAGACAGCACCCCTTCCGCACTCGGCACAGGGTTTGTGCCACGGAAACGGGGAGAGAAGAGCGAAGCCGCAGCAGCGCAGGCAGCACGTGGTCGTGGCGAGGCCTCCGGCCTGTTTCCCAGACGCTGTGGTGGACTGGACGGGGCTGTCACCTCGGCTCATTTCGTCCTTAGAAAATACATCCGGTCCCAGTTCTGAGATCCAGGGCCCGGCTGGCTGGCCTTACCTGCAGACAATTCCCGCCTGGGCCTGGAATGGCTGAGCTCAGTCTTGCTGGCCTCCCCTGCGCCCTGAGTCAGACGCACACCCACACCAGGGCGCCCGCCAGCAGCACGGCCAGCAGCCCCAGCAGCAGGAGCCCCCGCCGCAGCACCAGCTGCCGCCCGCTCAGCTGGGGCCGGGTCCGAGGGGCCCCGGGGCCCGCCTCCTGGTGCAGCTGCTGGTCCCACTGGGCTTCGTCCTTCTTCTCAGCATCTCCCGTCCCCGTCTCTCCGCGGCTCCCAGGGCCCCCTGCGGGGAAGGGACCGGGTTAGCAGCGTGGAAGGAATGTTCCATCAGCATGGAGGCGATAGGACAGGCATGTGCACTGGGTGTTACCAGCGGAGAAAGGTGATTCTGGAAGCAGTGGCTCCACAGAGAAATAAAATCCTTCGCAGAGGCCTCTCCGCAGCCCACCGCACACCCTGGCCGGACAGGACGGCTGCTGCCGCGGGGCCAGGAGCCCCGCCCACACACCACCCTGAGGCCAGTGGCGGCTCTCCAAGGTAAAATTCGGAGACTTTTCAAGGGGCCACGCCTGTGTGATGGTTTCAGGAGGAGGCGGCCAGCGGAGAGGAAACCTAGGCAGTAACTCGGGGCGTTCACGTCAGGGAGAGGGAGGGGACTTCACCCCGAGGCGCCTGGGTTTAACCGCGTGACCCTCGACAGGGAGAGTGAGAGCCACTTCCCGAAAGTTTCCCCAGAGGAAGCCGAGGCAGGTGAGGCGATGGGACGAGAAGACAGAGGGATGCCACATGCCCGCAGGGGTCGGAGAGAAAATAGCTGCAGACAGAACAGTACCATCTTGCACTTCCAAAGTGCTTTGCGAGAGGCCTGCTCTCACACAGCACTGAGGTACAGCGGCTGTTCCTGCTTTTCGCACGCGGGGAGGGGTGAGGGGGAGGGGGAGTTGGCAGAAGGCATGGGCCAGCCCTTCCCTGAAGACAAGCCCAGAGCTGGCGAAGCAAGAGGACCACCTGCAGGCCGGAGCACAGCAGCGAAGGACAGGCAGTGACCTGTGCAAGGCCTGGGCGGCGGGGCCAGGCGCGGGAGCCTTTGGCAGAGAGTTTCCCCTGGAGGAGCAGATGGAGAGCCCAGCCCGCCCCAGGGAGCCCTCTGCACCGCGGGCCGGAGCTCTGAAGGGCGCATGAGCATGGCCCCGAAGAAAGTCCGCCCTTACCCATCGCCGCCTCTGGGTGGCCAGGGCCGGGCCGGGGGCCGGGGTGGGGTGGAGGGGGCCAGAACTTCCATTTCTGCCCCTGTCCTGTAAGCCAGTGTTAGAAGCAAAGGAGAGCCGAAACCGGTTTGGCTCAGTGGACAGAGCGTCGGCCTGGGGACTGAAAGGTGCCGGGTTCGATTCCGGGCAAGGGCATGTACCTTGGTTGTGGGCATATCCCCATTAGGGGGTGTGCAGGAGGCAGCTGATTGATGTTTCTAGCTATCTATCCCTCTCCTTTCCTATATATTATAATATATATAATAATATACATATTATTTTCTTTTCTTTTAAATAACCCTCTCTGGAGATAGATAACATCATCTGGGGCCTCAGTCACTTGGACAAACACTTCAGATGCGAAAAGCTGTAAGACAATCAGTGATGACGAGGCACCAGGGATGAGACGGGGCAGAAACACAGGCTCGACTATTGATGTGACTAAGCCAGCCGCCAGCTCAAAGGGCTTCCGTTCTAAGGAGCGAAGGATGGTGTGAGCGCCTGACTCAGTGCCTCCGGAACCGGGAGCCCAGGGAGGGACTGCGCTGATAGAGGAAACGATATTCGCCTGCATGATGTTTACCAGAAGCAACATTCAAGTCAATACTCCGCTTAAGGCTCACCCATGTGCCTGGAGACCAGGAAAACCCACTGAAACAAACACACGATGCCCGTCCCCAGGCGGGCCAGGACACAGGTCCAGGCCCTGGAGAGCCCTCAGGAGGCCTGCAAGAGCGCCACCAACTGGCCCAGGGGCCACCTGCGGATTGGATTGCCCGCAGCAGCAGGCTAATGTCCGGAGGGAGAGCAAATGAAGCTCAATCCTTGACCCCAAATCGGGTGTTTCTTGCCTAATTGAATGGAAGCTCACAGCAGCACGTGGGTGGCGCTGAGGCCGCAGAGGCCGGGCCCCCGGGAGGCTGTTCGGGCGGAGGGCAGGCGTACCTGGGAGAAGCAGGCCCTGAGCCGCAGCAGTGCCGTCCTGGGCCGCGGGCAGTCTCATGTTGGCGTGGACCTGAGCCTGCAAGCAAGCGCAGCGTGAACCCCGCTCTCCGGGCCCCGAAGAGCCAGCCACTTCCTTCCATCCCCGGTAACACCCGAGCTTCTCTGGCTCACAGTGTGGCTCATCTCCCATGACGGAGGGGGCAGGGAGCCGGAAGGCTGGCCGGAAAGCACGAGATGAGGGGAAGACGGGGTCCGGGGTCATGTAGAGTTAACCCCTCGTTCCCTGTATCTCACTCATCTTCCACCAACTTCCCAAGCTGCACACTGGCCCTGGGAAGATGGGGGGGAAGATGCACACAGGAGTCTTAACGGGACGTGTGGGATCAGAAAAGCAGGGTCAGGATGCGTGTGACGGCACACCACCTCCCCAGTTCCAAATGTCATCCTGAAACGGGCTTTCCAGGCACAAGGGGAGAAGCCCAGCATGGGTTCCCCTAAGATAGGGAAGAAAGGAACCCCCTATTTTTCTATTCAATAAACAAAGGGCCGAAACCGGTGTGGCTCAGTGGTAGAGCGTCGGTCTGCGGACTGAGGGGTCCCAGGTTCGATTCCGGTCAAGGGCATGTACCTTGGTTGCGGGCACATCCCCGGTAGGGGGTGTGCAAGAGGCAGCTGGTCGATGTTTCTCATCAACGTTTCTAACTCTCTATCTCTCTCCCGTTCTCTCTGTTAAAAATCAATAAAATATATATATTTTTAAAAATGAACAAAGGGGAATGAGTAAAGCAAGAGTCATCTGGCCCTTCAGGTCTGAATTAGATGCAGTTAATTAACAATAAGAGTGAATGAGAGCGAGAGGAAAGGGGGGAGTGGGGAGAGGAGAGAGAAAAGGAGGGACGGGGAAGAAGGGAGGGGGAAGGAGGGAGCGCAGGGAGCAGGTGTGGGGTGCAGGGAGCAGGGAGGGGGCGCAGGGAGGGGATGCAGGGAGGAGGCGCAGGGAGGGGCACAAGGAGCAGGGGGGGTGCAGGGAGCAGGGGTGGGGCGAGGGGAGCAGGGATGAGGCGAGGGGAGCTGGGCTGGGGCGCAGGAGCATTACCTGGCGACAGGCTTTCCCCCAGTTGAGCCGCGCGATGAAGCCCAGGAAGCAGGCGGCCTGGCAGACGGTGCAGAGGATGATGCCCGCCCACAGACCTGGGGAGCGGGCACCGGAGTTAACTGGGGGAAACCAGCACCTGCGGAGCATGTTCTCAGGTCTCCGGCTCAGCATCTGCTTTCATGGAGAGACTGAGCCAGAGCAGAGCCTCTCTCCTTCCGTTTCCAGAAGGTTCCAGGAGGCCCGGGGCTCCCTGGGCTACTTCCTGGAGTTTTGGGTCTCAGAACAAATGTTCCGAATCATATCAGAATGGTGACAGTTACAAGGAAAGGGAATTTTCAGGACAAACAACGCCCTGTCTCTAACAGCACTGCCGGACGAGCCGGCCCCCTTTTACTGGAAAAAGGAACTGGTGCTTTAACTAAGCAGCTGCCACTGCGGCCTGACATGCAGCCGCGCTCTCTCTCCCCCTGGGCGCTCCCTCAGACCCTCACTCGCTCTCTCTCTTCCCCTGGGCGCTCCCTCAGACCCTCACTCGCTCTCTCTCTTCCCCTGGGCGCTCCCTCAGACCCTCACTCGCTCTCTCTCTTCCCCTGGGCGCTCCCTCAGACCCTCACTCGCTCTCTCTCTTCCCCTGGGCGCTCCCTCAGACCCTCACTCGCTCAGGCGCTGAATCGCAGCCCTGGGGCAGTGCCTCTGAGTGAGGATGGAGGATGGGAAAAGCCTGTAGATCCCCAAGTATCATCCCTACTCCACCTCATAACCCGCACAGAGCCCGGGGAGACCCTAGGGATGAAGGGTTTTTGGTCAACAGTGAACTAAAGACATCAGAAACTCGAAAAAAAACGGCAGACAGAGGTCAAACCACATGAGAAAACAGAACTTTGGCACCAGCCCAAAGCAGCTGGTCTTAAACCAACCCGTGTCCGCAATAACACCCAGGAGCCGGCTGCTCTGCCCAGGCTCGTGCAAGCCGCGTGGCCATTGCTAGGGACAGTCTCGGAAGCGAAATAATAACTTCTGTCCAACTGATGCAAATGACCAGGATTTGACCAATAACTGGCAGCTTCCCTGAATTCTGTCCCTACTTCCTACCTGGGACCAGCCAGAGAAAACCGGGCATGCACCCTGACCGAGTGCAGGCGCCCCGCTTCCAGCGTCCAGGCCAGCAGCCTCCGCCAGGCACAGCCGAGCCTTCGCCCGGCCGCTGCAGAGCGCCCTCCCCGCCGCCCGCCGGTGAGGCTGCCACACGCGGGCAGGGCTGGCGGTGCAGAGCACGCTCTGAGGGAGCAGCCTCTGCGTGTCCATCTGGTTGGTCTCGGCTGTTTTGAATCCGGGTAAAGGAAGGTGGCCAGGCTGGGCTCATGGTTTACGGGGAGGTGCCAGATTAAGGCAAAGTGCCATCATTCTGGTATTTAGAATAAAGCGGTGACTGTCACTCCCATAATGGACTCATGGAAGCACACATACGCCCCCCCCCCACCCCAGCGTCTCCCCTCCTCCCCCCGCATCCCCCGCGCCTCCCGCCCTGAAGCTCACCGACCACGCCCAGGCTGGTGGCGAACATCAGGGAGATGCCCACGGGGAGGCCGATCATGTAGTAGCCCACGGCGTTGAGGATGGCGCCCACCTTCTGGTTCCCGCTGCCACGCAGGATGCCGCCACCCGTGCACTGCGGGGGACACCAGTATGAGCCCCCCCCCCCCCCCAGTGCACTGTGGGAGACACGGGGTCCCACACCCCCTCCCCCCTGCACTGCGGGGGACACCGGTCAGACACCCCCCCCAGTGCACTGTGGGAGACACGGGGTCCCACACCCCCTCCCCCCTGCACTGCGGGGGACACCGGTCAGACACCCCCCCCAGTGCACTGTGGGAGACACGGGGTCCCACACCCCCTCCCCCCTGCACTGCGGGGGACACCGGTATGAGCCCCCCCCCCCAGTGCACTGTGGGAGACACGGGGTCCCACACCCCCTCCCCCGTGCACTGCGGGGGACACCGGTATGAGCCCCCCCACCCCGAGCACTGCGGGGGACAGGCGGTCAGACTCCCCCACCCCCACCCCCCCCCCAGGTGCGCACTCACCGCCAGGCCCTCGAAGAGGTGGGACACGGCGTACAGCGGCACCACGCGAGACACCAGCTCCAGGATCTCCCTGGGGAAGGAGGGGGTCAGGGCCGGGATCTCCTGGGGAAGGAGGAGGTCAGGGCCGGGATCTCCTGGGGAAGGAGGGGGTCAGGATCTCCTGGGGAAGAAGGGGGTCAGGGCCGGGATCTGGGGAAGGAGGGGGTCAGGATCTCCTGGGGAAGGAGGGGGTCAGGGCCGGGATCTGGGGAAGGAGGGGGTCAGGGCCGGGATCTCCTGGGGAAGGAGGGGGTCAGGATCTCCTGGGGAAGGAGGGGGTCAGGGCCGGGATCTGGGGAAGGAGGGGGTCAGGATCTCCTGGGGAAGGAGGGGGTCAGGGCCGGGATCTGGGGAAGGAGGGGGTCAGGGCCGGGATCTCCTGGGGAAGGAGGGGGTCAGGATCTCCTGGGGAAGGAGGGGGTCAGGGCCGGGATCTGGGGAAGGAGGGGGTCAGGGCCGGGATCTCCTGGGGAAGGAGGGGGTCAGGGCCGGGATCTCCTGGGGAAGGAGGGGGTCAGGATCTCCTGGGGAAGGAGGGGGTCAGGATCTCCTGGGGAAGGAGGGGGTCAGGGCCGGGATCTCCTGGGGAAGGAGGGGGTCAGGATCTCCTGGGGAAGGAGGGGGTCAGGGCCGGGATCTCCTGGGGAAGGAGGAGGTCAGGGCCGCGGGCAGCTCGCCCTGCGCGGGCCCCGGGCTTCTGGGCCTGGAGCGCCGGCTCGATGCGTCTGGTGCTTTAGGAGAAACCCGAGTCCCTGGGTCAGGACACAGCGATCCGGGCCAGGGCTCCGTCTGCCCGGGGGAAGCACACTGAGAGCCAGGTTCTCTCCGGGCCCGGCTGGACAGTGCAAACACAGACCGTCCACGGGGCTGCCCGTGGCCCCACGGGCCCAACCCACAGCCGGGAAGCGGGGAGGCCAGTCGGAGCGCCCGCCCGCCTCTCAGCAGCTCATAGGAAGCCAGGACCCTGGCTGGCGGGGAGCAGCTGTTAGAGAATCAATAAGAAACCCAGCTTTGAACCAGAGGATACCACCCCAATAAAGGAGAGAAATAGTTATTTTATTCAAAGTTGATTGTATCTTTTGAGTTGGTAATGTGCTCAAATGGCTGAGAGAAATCAACAACATGAAAAGGAAACAGAAGTCTCCCTTCCACTCCTGTCCTAACCCCCACTAGCATTGACCCACCACCCCCCTCCTCACCCCTCCCGTCCTCACCCCCCTCCCCCGCGCTGACCCCCCACCCCCAGCCTGACTCTCCTCCCCTGCACTGACCCCCACCCCCATCCTCACCCCTCCTGTCCTCAACCCCCACCCTCACCCTGACCCTCCACCCACAGCCTGACCCCCCTCCCCCGCCCTAACCCCCACACCCATCCTCACCCCTCCCATCCTCAACCCCCACCCTCACCCTGACCCCCACCCCTAGCCTGACCCCCCTCCCCCGCCTTGACCCCCCACCCCTATCCTCACCCCTTCCCTCCTCAACCCCCACTCCTGTCCTGACCCCCACCCTCGTCTTGACCCCACCACCCTGCAACCAATAACAGTTCCAGCATTGTCTGTATTGGTTCAGTGTTTATGAAAAATAGGAAATACAAATATCTATTCTTATTTTCCCCTTCTAGACTCTACTATTCCATATTGTAGCATTCGCTACAGATGCTCTGCACTTTTATTTTCCACCTAACACATCTCATGCCATTTTATATTCCATCAAAACACATTGTCTGTAACGTGCTGTGAATTTTACCGAAATGTGTTCTGGGGTTGAAGTTCGTGCTGATCAGTGGCAGTCAGTGCGGGGCCTTCTGTTCTGCACGCTGACTGCTCAGAGCTCGGTGCCAGCTGCCAGGCGCTCACGAGCAGAAGGTGGGCTTTCGCTGGGCCTGCCTCCCAATGGCTCAGACAGCGTTGCCTTATCTAAGCTTTAAGGTTACAAAACCCTCCTCTGGCACCCTCTAGGGTTGGTGATTTTGAGATTTAAAACAATTTTTTCCTATTTCTTCTAAAAAAAAAAAAATCAATCTTTTTAGACCTTCTATATTGTCTAGGGCAAGTTCTGATAAATAATTTTCCTGGAAAATTATCTTTTCCTTCCAGATTTTTAAATTTACGCTCACACGTTATGCACACTAGTGGCCTGTGCTTTGAACATGACTGCTGTGTTCCCTGACTTTGGGCGGGGGGGTCGCATTCCCTCTCCGATCAGGTCCGGTGTGTCACTGCCGGAACCTCTGTGGGCGCCTCCGCCAGTCTCGGCGACCGGCCAGCCTGCAGGCTGTCTGCGCGTTTCCAATGGCGTCTTCTCTTCTCTGGGAGCCTTTTGCTTATTCTGTCTCCTGCTCTGCATGGTTTCCTGGAGGGGACGGACCCCGAACCAAAGGCCCACTTTCCCACTGAAGCCACAGCGCAGCGAGCACATCTGACAAAGGGCTCTGGTCCCTCTGGAGGGAACGAAGGTGCTGTGGCTGCTTCCCGCTCCTGCTGACGGGGCGACAGCCTACAGCCTCGCCTCCCACGCGGAGTGGCTGAGACCAAGCTGACAGCCTCAGGCTGGAGAACAGCGCGAAGCTTGGTCCTGCCCTCCCCCTGCTTTTTGCCTCCTGATGGGAGTTGGTTTGCATGTTGTAATTGCTGAGAAAAAGTCCCAGGTAAGAGGTGGCCCCGCGTCTACCCACAGAGAACTGCCCGGCTGGCCGCCCCGCTGAAGGCAGCAGCGGCACACAGCTGCGGCCGCGGGGGCACTCATCGGGATGAGGCTTCGCCTCAGCCATCAGTCAGACAATGAAGTTGGACAGGCACCCCCGGGGGCGACTTTACCTTCCATCCCGGGTGACAGGCGGGTTATGTAAATACTGCAAACCAGGAGCAAATTCTGAGATGTCGAGATGACTTTGTCATTGGAACAAAATACTTAACTGAAAAGGTCACCCAGGGGACCCAAAAGGAGTTTCCTCCTTTAAAACGCATGAGTATCCTGAGCACCAGAGCAATGCCACCACCGATGCCAGGAACCGGGTTCCTCGCCCGCCCGCCCGCCCGCCCGCCCGCAGTCTCCCGGGAGCATCTGAGCTGCTGATGCTGCAAACGGGACCCTCAGGAGGCCTCACGGGAACCCTCTGCCAGCGTGTCCCTGCCGCAGGTTTCCCATCTAGCACTCACCGGTCGGTAGTGAAAATGTACCCCACCAGGTCCTTACAGCTCAGCAGCAGGACGCAGAAGGCTACAGCAAAGAGCTCTGGAGGCGAAGGAGAGAAAGCCGGTGAGACAGGGGGCTGCGGGCCGGGCGCCTGCGGCCCGGCAGGCGCTCAGGGGGGTCCGGGCGGGGAAGCGAGCACCTGTGACCAGCACGGAGACCAGGGAGCACCGCCTGGCCTGCTCGATGTCTCCCGCGCCCAGCGCATTCCCAATGCGGACGCTGGCAGCCACGCTGAAGCCCGTGGGTATCTACGAGGAGAAGGGAACCGTGAGAGCGGGAACCAGCCCTGCCTCCAGCTCCGGGGCCTCGCTCTGCACCTTCCCATCACGCCTCGTGGGTAGAACTTGGGCCTAGAGCTGTAAGAAGGGTAGCTGGCAGCATCCTTGTGTCTAACATGGGGCCTGGAGCCCTGGGCTGAGGTCCTTGCCATAAGCCTGGCTTTTGACAGAGCTTCCAGCCGGAGCACCGGGAGGGCTGCACCGTCACTTCTGCCCGTGGGTGTGGAGGTATGGATTCCGAGAGCCTGACAGGTCTGTTCTGAAAGACGCTCAAGGGTTTAGAAAACAGAATCCTAAAATGGTGACCCCTCCCCTGCAAGTGTTGGATAAAGACATAGGAAAACAGAGACCCAGACCAAGCCCAGAGCAGTGCCGCCTCTCTGAGGGCAGAGTGGTGCCAGCCAGACAGCGGCGTGGCCTGTGCTTAGGAACAGGGACTCTGAAGCCAGACGGCCCGGGTTCAGGTCCCCGTCCAGGCACCTGCCCCACTAGACCTCAGTTCTCTGTGAGAGAGACCTCAGAAGAGGACCTGCATATTAGGGTTATGTTGGGATTAAATGAGTCCATCATGCTAACTACTTAGAACAGGGCCTCAAACACAGCAATTATTCAGGAAAAAATAGCCATTGTTATGTATATACTAGAGACCTGGTGCACAGATTCGTGCACTGGTGGGTCCCTCAGCGTGGCCTGCGGGGATCAGGCTGAAACTAGGTCTCTAACATCCCCCAAGGGGTCCCAGATTGCGAGAGGGCACAGGTCAGGCCAAGGGACCCCACCAGTGCACCTATTATCTATAAATTTACCACTTGAGAGACTAAGTATTAATTAAGGCAAAATATTTATCACTCATTTAAGCAAGGATTTTGCCTGAAGATCAGGATCGCTGAAGGAAAGGCGAAGGTGTGGCTTGGTGGTGGAAACCGGCAGGCAGTGCTCTCACCAATAGCCAGTTACCATCACCAATGAGACAGATCTGGTGACGGCTAACGCCACCAGGTGTTAGACCTTGGTTAAGCACCTCAGTTCTTGAGTTTGGCTGGGAAAGGATTCAGAGCCAAGGAACTCGAATTGTAAGAGAAAGCTTGTTTAGAAAGTCATCGAGGGCGGAGGAGTGAGCAGCTGGGCAGTGTGGGCTCAGGAAACAAGCTGTAGAGGCAAAAGAAGGGCCCTTAGAGCTGAGGAGAAAGAAAGGCAGAGAGAGAGAGAGAGAGAGAGAGAGAGAGAGAGAGAGAGAGAGAGAGAGAGAGAGAAAGGAAGAAAGAGGATGGAAGGGAGAGAGGGAGGGAGGGAAGGAAGGAGGGAGGAAGGAGGGAGGAAGGAAGGAAGGAAGGAAGGAAGGAAGGAAGGAAGGAAGGAAGGAAGGAAGGAAAGAGAGGAAAGAGAAAGGGAACATGGCCTGACCTCAAGGCATTCGTGTTGTGACAACTATTTGGCACGTCTGGCAATCAAATGAGATCTTTCAGACAGGGACTGTGTTGGCGGATGGAAGTCCAGCAGTGGACACATCAGTAAGAGCCTCCCCATCCCCCCTGCCAGTGAGCCCACAGGAGGACCCCACCCCCACCAGTGAGCCCACAGGAAGACCCCACCCCCTGCCAGTGAGCCCACAGGAAGACCTGCCCACCCCCTGCCAGTGGGCCCACAGGAAGACCCGCCCACCCCCTAGTGAGCCCACAGGAGGCCCCACTCCCACCAGTGAGCCCACAGGAAGACCCGCCCACCCCGTGCCAGTGAGCCCACAGGAAGACCCGCCCACCCCCTGCCAGTGAGCCCACAGGAAGACCCGCCCACCCCCTAATGAGCCCACAGGAGGCCCCACCCCCACCAGTGAGCCCACAGGAGGCCCCACCCCCCACCCCCACCAGTGAGCCCACAGGAGACCCCACCCCCACCAGTGAGCCCACAGGAAGACCCACTTAACCAAAAGGATCCTCTCAGCTCTGGGATAAGAGTTTCTGAAGGACTGAATGTTATGAATAGGCACACTTAGCACCCCCGCACAGCAGCTCAGACACTCACCATGAACACTATCGTGGCCAGCTCATACACGATGGACTGTGCCCCCAGCTCCACCATGCCGAGGATCCCTGCGGAGAGAGCCACTGGTGCACGCTTCTGGGCAAGCCCCCTCCCCCAGCCGCGCCGCCCCTCCCCCAGCCCCTCCCCTCCCCCAGCCGCCCCTCCCCCAGCCACCCCTCCCCTCCCCCAGCCGCCCCTCCCCCAGCCCCTCCCCTCCCCCAGCCGCCCCTCCCCCAGCCCCTCCCCTCCCCAGCCGCCCCTCCCCCGCACTGACCGCTCAGGAAGCTGCCAATCTCGTAGGCCCACCACTCCATGCACAGCATGAGCATGCTGGGGATGGCCAGGCGGAAGAAGGAGCCCCAGTCCTGCAGGCACTCCAGGGACCAGCCTGAGGGGACACACCATTACCACACAGCTGGGCACCGCCCGGAGCTCACCCGAGGCAGAGCCCGTGTCCGAGGTGGAACACGAAAGACGGCCTTTACCTCCCCAAGTGGCTCGGTGCAGTTTCCTCCAGAAGATGTAGAGGAAGAGGAACAGAGCCAGGGAAAACTGGGCGATCAGGTTGGCCAGTGCGGAGCCCCTGGAAGAGCAGACTGTGAGGGGCGCGCTCGCCACCCTCCCAGCCTCCCGCAGCGGGGGTGCCACCCGCCTGGGGTGGTGCCACCCGCCTGGGGTGGCTGCAGCGGCCCTGGGGCCATCCTCCCGGAGCACTGCTCTCCTCCACCCCGGCCGGACCGTTTGCCAGTGCCCGAGGAGGGACCGCACGTGGACACGGCCAGGAAGTCTCACTGCCCCCGGCCTTGGCGAAGCCACACACTGCCATGCCTTCTCCCTGTCCCAAGACTTGGTGAACTCACATCACCCCAAGATGCAGCTCATGGAGAAACAGGTAGTTGACGAGAGCGTTGACGAGGTTGGCGGCAACTCCAGTGAAGATCTGGGGCAGAATGATTCCCTAGAGCCAGGAGAGACCGCACCTGCTGGAGGCCCGGACCAGGGGCCGGGCTGCCACCGGGAGGCAGGCCGTCCTGGGGCCCTCCTTTCTGCGCTTGCCTCCGCCCTCCCCGCACCCCCCCCCTCTCGGAGCCGGAGAGCTGGGCAGGAGGGGGACGCAGAGAGGAGAGGAGAGACCCCGCAGCAGTGCCAGCACTGCAGGGACTGATTGTACACACACGCTGCTTCCCACATCGGCCTGTGGGTGAGAGCAGCACTTCCCCAAGCACAAGGGGGGTCTGCAAAGGAGTGAGGGATGCGTCCCGTCCCATGTGGCTCTGCTTACGAGCACAGAGCAGCAGCGTCTATCCAGTCTGGCATCCCAGACCCAAGCCCTGCTGCATGAGATACATAGTGGTGCTGGGCGGAGGGAGTGAGCGGCCACTTGCAGGAAACAGGGAACACCATCCCCACCGCGGGGTCACCTCGCCCCTGAGTCCTCTCTCATCTCCAGGAAACCTGTTGTCTGGCCCACACCTGGAAAAACCTCGCTGTCTGAAACCCTGTCAGTGAAGACAGAGCGCCCGCTCTGCCTGAGGGCTGAGGTCAGTGTCACCCAAACAGCAGCCTCCGTGTCCCACCCAGGGCGACACTCCACAGGCCCCGCACAGCCATCCTCCGGGCCTGAGCCTGCCGGTTCCCCAGAAGGGACACGGGTGGAGCCCAGGCCTGGCCTCGGAGCTTAGCCTCGATTTCTCCGCTCAACCTTCTAGCTCTGACCTCCCGGAGCCGGCTTCCCTGGGATCTCACTGACCTCCACCCCCTTTGGTGAGAGCCCACGGCCCCTGCGATCTGTGGAAGCTCCAGGCTGACAGACCTGACAGCCGGGCTGTGCGTTTGTCTGGTGGCCTCGGTGGTCTTGGGCTCAGAGGCCAGGACAAAGGCTTGGCCAACCGTTTTCGTGGGCCACACATTTCCCGGAGACCCTGTTAGCTTAGGCACGGGGGTAGCGGGCCGAGCTGCCTTTCGGGAGGTGGAAGCAGACAGAGTGAAGCCACGGCCACTGCAGGAACCCGGAGCGGCCGCTGGGAGAGTAGGCAGTGCTGGCAGGCGGCTCCCAGCCCGGCCTCCCAGCCCTGAAAGCTGTGAATCCTATCAGCCCCACAGAGGAAGAGGAGAGCCGGCATTACCTGGGTGAGCAGATATTTAACTTGTAATGTGTAAAGAAACGTCGCCTACAAGAGAAAGATAGAGACGATGCTCACACTGGCCGGGCCATGCAGAGAGCTGAGAGCCACTGCTCTCCCGCCCTTTGCTCCACCGGGACCAGAGCTGTCATCAGGGAGGGGGCGGGAGAGGGGGTCCGGAGCCAGGGTTCGGCCCCTCTCCTGTGTGTGCACTCGACCCACTGGTTCTGGGTCGGGGGACAGCTCCCTGGCCGCTTGACCCCAGAGTCCCTTCAGCTCTAGGAGTCAGGACAGCGCCCTGGAGACACCTGAGCCTGGGCTTCCTTGAGGGCCAGGGTTTGTGTCTTTCCTGAGCACAATTAAAACCGCGCTTTCTGGTACGGGTGCCACCAGGTCCGATGCATTGGGCCGTGGGTGTCTCAGCGGCGTGTCTCGGTGAACCCGAGGAGAAACAGCCGAACTCCTGGAAACTTACGGGAAGGGCTGGGATGAAGATCATGACGTAGGTGTGGGTGAGCCTGCACAACGACCAGAAAGGAAAGCCGTGAGGTCTCCAGCTCAGGGAAAAGGGAGGCGGGACAAACCCCCTGTCACCAGTCCTGGCTCTTTCTGGATGAATGGACTAAACTGCTGGAGCAGGCGTGCAGTTTACAACAGAACTGCCATCGCATAGCCCTGAGACCTCTCTGGTCCTTCCCAGCCGTGTCTCTCCAGCTCAGCTCTGTGGCTGCTGACTTGTCTGCTGTGGCCACTTCCCTGTGGTTTGTAGATCTTGGGCTTCTACCAGTCATTATGCCCTCATACCAGTTCTGATAACAGAATGCCTCCCGACATTGCCAACTGCCCCGGGCTCAGAGCCGCTGGCCTAAGACAAGGGCTGCCCTGGTGGGTCTCAGTCTCGGCAGCATGTGAGGGTCGGCTAGGTGACCTCTGGGAGACACTGTGCCCCGGCTGCCCCGGCCAATGAGGACAGAGCGGGGAGGGAGGGAGAGGGTGGGCTCTGAAAGCACTGAGGCGACTCAGCAACCAGGGCCAATGAGCACGAAACCACCACACAACACCTTCAGCGACCACCCCTCCTGGAGAGGTTGCCAAATCTCACTTCTCCCCAGACTGCGCTTTTGCCGTCCCAGGTGAGGGGGTCTGCATCACAGGCGCAGGCATGCGGAGCACCAGGCCTGGCAGAACCACCCGAGGGAAGCTCACCGTCTCATGTGGGGCCGCGCCCTGGCTTTTGGCACTTCCAGAGGCCAGACCTGGATGGGAGCACCTTTCTGCTGGGATGGCCCCCTGCCCTGCACGGCTGCCTCACGTGGACACAGCATGTCCTGCCCAGGGGCCTCACCTGGACACAGCCGGTCCTGCCCGAGGGACCTCACCTGGACACGGGGCCCTGCCCGGGGGCCTCACTTTGACATGGGGGCCCTGCCTGGAGGCTGACCTGGACACGGGCCCTGCCCGGGGGCTCACCTGGACACGGCGGGGTCCTGCCGGAGCAGCAGCAGGATGTGCTGGGTGTTGAGGAAGAGCGCCCAGCAGGGGAAGCAGCAGAGCAGCAGGATGAGCGCACCCCGCTGCAGGATGACCCCCACGTGCTTCTTGTTGGGGCTGCCGTACGTCTGGGGACACACAGCCAGAGCAAACCATCAGTGCCCCCCAGTCTGGACTTGACCGGTCCAGGGTGAGGCCCAAATGTCATAATTTTAAAAAGCTTTCTGTTCAGCTGGTGTGGCTCAGGGGTTCAGCGTCACCCTATGAACCAGGAGGTCATGGTTCGATTCCCGGTCAGGGCACATGCCCAGGGTTTTGAATTCAATTCCCAGTGTGAGACATGCAGGAGGCAGCTGATTCACAATTCTCTCTCAACATTGATGTGTCCCTCTCCTCCCTTCCTCCCAGAAATCAATAAAAATGTTTTTAAAATAAATAAATAAATAAATAAATAAATAAATAAATAAATAACTGCTTTCTAGTAAGGGTTGCATCACCTAGAAACTTGTTAGAAATGCACTATATTGGGCCTGATGCAGGCCTTCTAAGCAGAAACTCCGGGGAAGGGACGGTGCGCCCGTTCAGTGACGTGAGGGAGGCTGATTCGCCACAGAGGGAGCTCTTACCCCACCGGGATCAGCCCACGCACACGTCAAAGTGCTTCTCTCCGTGGAGACTGCACATGGCCTGCCCGCTGCCCACTGCTGCCTCGCCCACCACCCGCTGGCCTGGCCCACGCTGCTCCCTGACCATCCGGACCCGGACGACTATCACCTGGGGCAGGCTGGCTCTGGGACAGGGGTGGCCCTGCCTCAGGAAGTATGCAAGGCGCTCGCCCTTATCTGGGTGGGGCAGGTGTCACCCCCGAGTACCGCTCTCCACCTGCCCAGTGTCTATAGGCCCTTACACCTGCAACATGGTGCTCCTCCCCGTGAGTTCCCTCGGCGAACTCGGTATGATGTGGCGTTGTCAGCCCTTCCTCTGGGCTCTCAGCCCAGGACAGTTTCTCTCCTCCCGGAGACCCGAGCAAAGGGCCTGGGAACGAGGCCTCCACAGGGAAAATCCTGTGGCCAGGACCTCCGCCGGGGGGAGGGCGACCAGTGTGCTAGACTGAGGTGTGAGCCCGGTGCCCTGGAAGTGCGGCTGGTCTCACTCTGTACGCCGCGGCGAGGAAGGCGGCACAGCCACGGCTGAGGGCTGGCCCCTCCGGTGGGCGGCTGGCTGAGCACCAGGGTTAGAAAATGAGGGGATGCCGAAACCGGTTTGGCTCAGTGGATAGAGCGTCGGCCTGTAGACTGAAAGGTTCTGGGTTCGATTCCGGTCAAGGGCATGTACGTTGGTTGCGGGCACATCCCCAGTATGGGCTGTGCAAGAGGCAGCTGATCGATGATTCTCTCTCATCGATGATTCTAACTCTCTATCCCTCTCTCTTCCTCTCTGTAAAAAGTCAATAAAATATATTAAAAAAAAAAAAAAAGAAAGAAAAGAAAATGAGGGGATGAACTGCAACTAGAAAAAGATGACGGAACGTTGTCTACACCTCTGTTAGACCGGGCCTGGGGAAAAGGTGGGAGGGGGAGAAAGGTCTCGAGATCCCACTTCTTTTATGGAGGTCACAGGTCTGCCTGCAGCTGTTTGTGTGTGCATGTGTGTCTACACACGTGTTACGTGTGTGGTGTTTTCTACCTCTGGCTGGTGTTGCTAATTCGTAAATGAGCTGTGTTTCATTGGCTTTAAAAACAAACAAGCACGTATAAGGATTGGCTACTCTAAAGTCCTCAGAAATGCAGAAACTACCACACGCTTCCCAAGTTCACCAGAGAAGATTAATCTTTAGTAAATTTATAGCTAATTTAAGTTTGTTGACTTACGTAGAACAGACATGTTTTTGAATTACTTACGGGTTAATAGTTCTAATTAAGGTGAAAAGAAATAAGATATGCTTTCAGTTAGACAAGGAAAGGGTGTGAAAATACATTTTTGAGAGAAAGAAAAGTAAGTTTGTCCTGAAGTGAGGCTGGTTGTTTGAGAATGAAAAGAGGAAAAGCAAGACAAAATCTGAATATGAAAATTTTCCGATTTGTGCAAAGTAATAATGAGAACAGAACTCTGTGTGGGCAGCCGAGTTCATCAAGGACGGGATTTACACATGAAGGTAATCGGAAGCAAAGTCAGTCTTTCTCTTGACGTGGCTGGGAAGTGTCCCAGAAGCCCCTGGAATGCCTCGAGATTGTTTCTCTCCTTGTAAGAGAACAACATTAAACCAGGCCTACCTGGAATTGCGAAGTTACTCGGAAACATTGTCAAATAAGAAATAACATTGAGCCTTCTTTATGTTGTAGTTGTATAAATGTCCGTGAAATTGCTGGAAATCTGAGCTCTCCTGACATAAGATGTCTGTCAACAAAGCTGAGGCCACATAGAAGGGACTGGCCCTAGCGTCAGACTGTGACCCGGGGGGATGAAGCCTATCCTGTTTCTGCAAAAACAAGCCCTCGCTACTGGGCTTCCGTGGCGTTGAGGTCCTTGTAACTATGGCAACAGGCTGCGCCCCAATCAGAGCAACCAGGTGGGTGAACCACTGGGGCCTTGGGAGACCAGGTGGCCTCTTGGTTCCTCTCGGCTCCCTGCCAAGCCCCATTTCCCTCTGTCTGCATCCTCAGGCTCCTACTGCCCCCGCCTGGACTCCCTCCCGCTGCCGTCAGGGCGTGCGGACACTCTCTGGAGGGGGTGCAGCTGCCCCTCCCAATGCCCTCGCAGTGACCATCACGTTAAGAAACGTGTCTCCCATGCAGGGTGCACCTTCCAGTGCTCCCATCACAGAGCCCACCACAGGCCATGATGGCGGCCTGGGACCTGTGGCCGTTTTCCTCCCCAGCCGCGGTGAGTGGGCTGCCATGCCGATGACGGAACGGTAACCTGAGGGGTTCCTCTCCGCTGGGGAGGCCCTGCAGGCTCCCGGTACTTCGGCAGCAGGCCCCACGGGGAAGTGTCCAGGAATGAAGTCGCATGGCTGGCTAAGACCTGCCTGCCCCCAAGGCTGTCACAGACCAAGTACAGGCCTGTCCCATAGCCAAACCTGTGAAAGAGGTGTAGGCAGTTCAGGAGTTCTGGGCACTGCTGAACTTTCTAGACCCCATTGAGTGTAATGCCTTCGCCCATTGTTGCCTGGTTAGGAAAGGACATATATGGGCCTGGCGAGCAGACAGCAGGCTGCCTTTGAGAAAGCAAAACACGGGTGACCCTGGCCGGTGTCAGTATGATTCCCGGGCAGGGCACATGCCTAGGTTGCAGGCTCAATCCCCAGTAGGGGGTGTGCAGGAAGCAGTTGGTTGATGTTTCTCTCACATGGATGCTTCCCTCTCTCCCCATCTTCCTCTCTCTCTCTCTCTCTCTCTCTCTCTCTCTCTCTCTCTCCCTGAAAAATAACAAAAAACAAAATGCTAGTCAAACAGATTAGCTCTTGGAATCTCACAGGTGTGGTGCCATGTGAATTACATGTTTTGGTCACCCTGGAAGGCATGAGCTGGGCACTGTGGCAAAAATGGCAAAGAGAAAGAGTGCCCTGGATTTGGGTCCCAACTGTGGGACCCAAGAGGGCAGAGAGCGGGCACTCCCTGATAGAAAACCAGTTGTCAGAAGACTTTCCCTTCCCATCAGGGAGCGGGTCACATGTGCATCGCCCGGCCCTGCTAGGGGTCGTGCCCTGTGCTGACTGCACGGCCTGCCGTCACCCAGGGAGGCCTGCAAACAGCCCCGTCTCCACGGCTCAGCGGCTACTGTGCCTGCTGAGCAACAGAGCCCCCGGAAACCCCTCCCACCCGTGCCAGCCCTGTGACCTGCAAGAAGGGAGGGACGTTCTGGCTGCACTGACGGCTCTAGCGGGACAATCTGTCTACTGGGTGCGGCCACCATTCCGCCGCCACTGCTACTACCGGACGGAAGCAGGAACAAATCACTTTTAGCAGCCAGGGGGCTGAGCTAAAAGTCGTTTGTCTGCTCCCTGACCCCAATACTGCCAGCTGGGCTGTTCTAAACGGAGCGCTCGTGGCTTTGACAGTGGAGGGGCAGGGGGGGGGGGCGGGCAGCAATGAGCAAGCCTACATAGGGAGGACAGGAGAGGTGGGGAAACATCGGGGCTCACTGGCAAAGCCAGGGGCCGAGCTGAGCGTCTCCTGCCCCTGCCCACAGGCGTCTCCACTTCCAGGCAGGCAGGAAGCAGACGCCTTGGCAGCTCCGCCAGCCGACACAGCAAACGGGAGCACTGCAGGGGCAGCCTACTGTCTGGACAGGAGGGCAGCTGGTGTGGCTGCTCCCACAAAGGGTCTAGGACAGCCCAAGTCCCATCTGTGCACAGGGACCCCGTCGCAGAGAGTGAGGGTGGGGTCACCTTTCGGAGGACATGATGTGCAAGCACGGCCAGCGGAACAGGGTCCTGAATGTTCCTGTGACCAGCAGGCAGCAGGCGGGTAAATAAAAAAAATGATGTCCTTGAGCAACAGATAAAATTATAGGCTGGAAAGCCTCGTTGGCTGGATGAACAAGGGTGCTTTTGCAGGCATTAAACATTTATGGGCTTTTGTTGTTGTTTTGGTTGTTGTTGTTTTTTTGTTGTTGTTTTTTAGAGAGAGGAGGGGGAAGAGAAAGAGATTTGTCCCACTTATTTATGCATTCACTGATTGCTTCTTATATGTGCCTGAGTGGGAATCAAACCAGCAGCCTTGGCATATTAGGATGATGCTCTAACCAACTGAGCCACCTGCCGGGCCCCAGGCCTCACTACATTTAAATAACCGAAGTGTGGTTGCTGCTGCCCCACAGCCTCATGAGGGACCAGCCAGCGGTCTATGCGGCAAAGGTGTGGACGCCCGGGCGCAGCGGTGGCACAGAGGCTTGCCTGGCCCAGAGGGCGTGCTCATGGGACACAGCCTGCTGTCCCTGGAACAGGGACCGTTTATGGAATCTGCCATGGGGCTCTGTGCGGAGCGTCAGTTACTGCGCGTCCCTGGGTGGAGAGGAACTTCTCAGGCTCCCGTGGGACCGTCACCCTGAGGCCGGAGGGCCCCTGGAGACAGCCACATGTGGACAGGCACACACGCCTGCGAAAGAGGGGAGAGGCTGGGGTCCCGGCTGGCTAGTCCGCCCCCTATTACCCCCTCGTGCCAGGAAGCACCACCCGGGGCCAACACGTAGAGTTCGCACAGCCTGGCCAGGCTCCCACGGCCGTGGCTGCGTCACCATCCAAAGACCCGGCTGCGAGCGTCACTCTCAGAGGAAGACCTCCCAACGCAAGGCCCTGCTGACCTTGGACTTCGGCTGCTCTGTGGCAGCCAACCGTTATGCGGCAGAGGGCACCCCAACTGAGTGTGGCCTGTTGGTTTTTGTTTTTGTTTTGCTACTATTGTTGTTTTTATTGATTTCAGAGAGAAAGGAAGAGGGGGAGAGAGATGGAAACATTAAAGATGAGAGAGAATCATTGATTGGATGCCTCCTGGGCATGTGCCTTTGACTGGAATCAAACCTGGGACCCTTCAATCCACTGGCTGATGCTCTATCCACTGAGCCAAACAGGCCAGTGGTGTTTTTTATACCAGATGAATCTGCTCGTATTTCTTCTTTCTAACACATGTGAAGGCTCACATACACGTCTCCGTGCCCCGGCTCCATGTCAGGTGACCTCGCACCCCGCTTAAATCCTGAGGATCATCCTGGAAAACGTTGTTTCTCATACGTGGATCCCTGCCTTAATGTTTCTCTCTTTCTTGCATCCTGTGTTGTTGCTGTGCACTATGTCCCTAACGTGGGCAATTGGCGGCTAGGCGAGCTGCCTCCCTGCCAGTGAAGCCCCTTGCAGGCACCGAGGGCACCTCATGGGAGAGGCACACGGTGGAAGGTGGAGAGACGCTGCCCTGTGTGACTGCCTGGCGCTGCCAGGCCGCAGCGAGCTCTGGGACGGACAGGGACGTCCGATGGGCCCTCCCCGTGCATGGCCGGAGTGTGTGGCTCTAGAACATGCCGGCCCTGCCCTGGCAACATGCAAGGTCTTTCCCCTACCGGGCGGGCTGCTGCAGGGCCCTCTCCACCCTGCCTCCCCCCACCCCCCACCCCGGGGCACAGAGGCCTTGCCAGCTGCGCCTCCTCTGTAACAAGCTTGAGGGGGATGCAGAGGGTCAGCCTCCTCCCGGGGCCCTTGCCAGGGGGCAGGTAGGAGCACTCCTCCACCCAGGCCGGCCTTGCAGGGTTTACCGCCCGCCCCCGGGAGCCGCCCCCCGGTGCTGTACCAGACCTGGGTCTGAGGAGCACGCGGCGGAGAACCTGGGCCACACGGCACTTAATACTGTGGGAAGCGCCGGAAGGGACTTCTATAGAATGCCCCTCTTCGGTCAAGACGCAGTCTGAGGAAGCACACAGAGGAGCACGACCCACAGCCTCAGCCACACTGCGGGGAGCAGGCCCCAGGGATTCAGAATGTGTCGCTCTGTGCACTCAACCCTTCCTGCCCGTGGCTCTTCCCGATGCACCCAGGGAGACAGCCCAGGTCGCTGAGAGAGGGGCCTGGGCTCCATTTACCTGAGACATGAGGGTGTCGCAAGCAGAAGATAAGCCAAATCCCACGGAGATCCCGGTGACATTAATCACCTGGAAAGAGATGCAAAGGAGAGGCCGCTCAGCGTTTGGGGAGACAGGAGGGGTGAGCTGGGCCGGCCTCAGGGAGCCGCAGGCCTCCGCCTGCAGAGACCGCTGGCAGGCACAGAGGGCGGGCACATGCTCAGAGAAGTCTAGACCAGAGGCTACCCTCAGCCTTGTTCTGTTTTAATCTTCAGCATTTGCTCTCTAATTTCAGAGGAATATGATCCTTCCTAAGGGCAGGCACTTAGCAGGATGCCAGGCGGGTAAGTCCACTTGCTCAAAACTAAGCCTGGCTTGTTCCAATGTCCGAAAGGACCCTGGAGTGCAGAGCCGGTCTCTAAAGTCAAGGCCAATGCCAGGGGCTCCCACATGTGCTGGTTTGACCAGGTCGGCAAAACCTGGGGTTCCTGGACTCTGGGGAGCCCATGGCTGCAGCCCCAAATCAGGGAGGGGCTTGGCAGGACCTCTGATGCCAGCCTGTCTGAAACCTGCTGCCTCCGCCTGAGTCTGCGGGGAGGTGCGGGCAGCAGCCACACCATCCAGCCTGAAAGCACCAGCTTTCTTGCACGTCCTTATCCAGAGAATCCGGTGGAGGCTGGCTGAGTACATTTCTATCCTCCCTACCCCAATTCCCAAACAGCAAAAACCAAAAAGGAAAACGGAGCCTGAGGCTGTCCACTTGCTCCCTGAAAGCAAACACTCAGTTTGTGCTGGGGACTGGTACAGAGTGCTGGTCTCCCCAAGTTCACGCATACAGCTCACCCGCCTGGAGGGCGCAGGCAGGGAAGGCGTGGGAGAGGCTGGAGAGCCGGAGTGGTGCTGGGAGCAGGCCCTTTGGCCACGCCGAGCCAGTTCACCCGGCAGAGGCCAAGGACATCTCTCTCTGGTTGGGGGGGGGGGGGGGGTTTGATCTAAGATACAGAGAGGATTTAGGTTTTTTTCTGACTTTAAGGTTAGATAATAGGATGCAGGGTTTCACTTTCCAATTTAATTTGTAATTTTAGTATATGTGCTGCCGAAGCGAGCACCAGTTTAATTTCTAGATCGGGACTCTCAGTAAGACAGACAAGTCATTGGGGTGGGAGTAGAGGTCTCGGTTTCTCCTTTTTTTAAATATTTATTGAGGTGACATTGGTTAATAGGGTCATACGTGTTTCAAGTGTACATTTCTATGATTCATGATCTGTATGTTACATTGTATGCCCACCACTCAACATCAAATCATTTTCTGTCACCATATATGTGGCCCCTTTACCTCCACCACCCCCTTCCCTCTGGTAACCACCAGACTGTCGTCCATGTCTATGGATTTCAGTTTGTCCCACATGAGTGAAATCATATGGTTCTTAGCTTTTCTCACTGACTTATTCACTTAGCATAATATTCTGAAGGTCCATCCATGTTGTCACAAATGGCAATATTCCGTCTTTTCTTATGGCTGACTAGTATTCGATAGCATATACATGCCACATCTTCTTGTCCAGTCCTCCAAGGAAGGACACTGGTTGTCTCCATGCCTTGGCCACGTGAATAATGCTGCAATGAGCATAGGGTGCGCAGAGCTTTGTGAATAAATGTTTTCAAGTTCTTCAGGTAGATACCCAAGAGAGGGTTGCTAGGTCATATGCTAACTCTATTCTTAATTTCTTAATTTTTTGAGGAAGCACCAGCCTGTTTTCCATTGTGGCTGTACCAGTCCACATTCCCACCAGCAGTGGATGAGGGTTCATTTTTCTTCATATGCTTCCCAAAATTTGTCAATACTTGTCTTAATAAGGTGTATAGGGGTAGAGGTGGTATCTCATTGCAGTTTTGATTTGCATTTTCCTAATAGCTAGTGAAGTTAAAAAATTCCCTATCTGTTGGCATTTTGTATGTCTTCTGTTAGGAGTTGCTCTATATATTTTGGTGCTCCCTGGTTGGGTGCATATATATTGGCAAGTGTTTTGTCTTCTTGACATATGTCCCCTTTATCATTATAAATTTTCATCTTTGTCTCTTGATACCTTTGTTTTCTTGACATCTATTTCATCAGATGTAAGTATGGCCACATCTGCTTTTCAGTGGTTGTGATTTGCCTGGAGAATCATTTTCCACCCTTTCACTTTGAATCTACCTTTATCTTTGTAGTTTAGCTGTGTCTCCTGAAGGCAGCATATGGGTGGGTTTTGTGTGTGTATGTGTTTAATATGTTTTTACTGATTTCAGAGACAGAGAGAGAGACAGAAACATCAATGATGAGAACCATTGATCGGCTGCCTCCTGCACATTCCACACTGGGGACCAAGCCGCAACCTGGGCACGTGCTCTAACTGGGAATCGAACCGTGACCTCCTGGTTCATAGTTCAATACTCAACCACTGAGCCACGCTGGCTGGGTGATGGGTTTTGTTTTTTTGATCCATTCTGCTACTCTGTGCCTCTTTAATGGTGAATTCAGTCCATTGACTTTTAGGGTAATGGTTGATGTATGAAGATTTCCTATAGCCATTTTATCTTCTGTTTTCTGGCAGCTATGTGCCTTCATTGGTTGTTTTCCTTTGTGTTTCTATCTTTTGTTTTTGTTTAGTGTTATTCCATACTTCTCTCCTCTGTTTTCTCTTTGTTTTTTTACACTGTTTCTCCATTTTGTTTTGTGTGTGTGGTTACCATCCTATATAATAAAAGGCTAATATGCATATTGACAGAATGGAGGAATAACCGGTCGCTATGATGTGTACTGACCACCAGAGGGCAGGCATTCAACACAGGAGCTGTCCTTTGGTGGTCAGTGTGCTCCCACAGGGGAGTGCCACTCAGCCAAAAGCCAGGCTCACAGCTGGCGAGTACAGCAGCAGTGGCTGGAGGCTCTCCTGACTCTGTGGCAGCACTAAGGCCTGCTCAGATATCCCCTAATGGCTTCCAGACTGTGCGAGGGTGCAGGCTGAGCTGAGGCCTGCACCCTCTCACAGTGCATGAATTTCGTGCACTGGGCCTCTAGTTAGATTTATAAAATCTAAAGTTGGGTATATACTGTAGTCCTTTTTCTTTTGAACACATCTGATCTTCATCCTCCTTTGCAAATTCAGACTTTCCCTCTCTCCTTTTATGTTTTTGTTGTCACAAATTATCCTTGTTAATGCTGTAAGTTTTTTGGTGATCTCACCTGTAGTGTTGTGACCTTATGTTCTTTGTTTCAGGTAGAATGACCCTTGAGTATTTCCTACAATGGAGGTCTTCTGGTGATAAAAGCCCTCAGTTTCTGTATGTCTGGAAAAATCTTTATTTCGCCTTCATATTTAAAGTATAACTTTGCTGGCTATTATTCTTGGCTGGTAATTTCTTTCTTTCAGACGTTTGAATATTTGTTTCCACTCTCTTCTGGCTTGTAGAATTTCTACTGAGAAGTCTAATGATAATCTAATGAGATTTCCTTTATCAGTTACTTTCCTCTCTTCCCTGGCTGTCTTGCAAAGTCATTACTTTTTGACAGTTTTAATTCAATGTACCTTGAAGAAGGCCTCTTCGGATTGGGGTTAACTAGGTGTTCTGTTTACTTCTTTCCATATGTTTGTAAAGTTCTCATCTACTCTTCATTTGAATAGGCTCATCATTCCCTTTTTTCTCTCTTCTTCTCCTGGTATGTCTTATTATTCTCAGATAGCTCTTTCTGTTGGAGTCAGAAAGTTCTCATGGAGTTCTTTCATATATTTTTTAAGCTCAAGTTTCTCTCTTCTTCCCTCTGCATCATTTCAATATTTCCATCTTAGATAATGTAATTTTTTCCTCCATCTGGTCTGCTCTATTTTCTATGCTCACTAGTTCACTATTAAACTCTTTTATTTTATTGAGTTCTTCATCTACAGAATTTTTGTTTAGTTATTTAATAAAGTTTCAATTTCTTTGGTAAAGTACTTGTTTTGTTTCTTAATTTGTTTTCTGAATGCATTAAATTGCCTGTCTGTATTTTCTTGCATCTCATTGAGTATTTTCAGAACAGCAATCTTGAATTTTCTGTCACTTATAATATATCACATATTTTCATGTGTTTAAGTTTGTTTTCTGGAGATTTTTCATTTTGTTTCTAAGCTGCCTCACTCCCTTGGTTATTCATGATATTAGCTGGATTTCTTCTCTTTCTAGGCATCTATGTATGAGTGACACTTCTAGCTGATTACTATGCATAGGTCTTTTTATAATTTTCTAGAAGGTGGCAATGAATCACGAGTTCTTTAGCTCTATAAAATCAGAATGCTGACCCCAGCAGTGCTTCTGGCTGCCATCGGTATAGCCGTGATGCTTGGAAATGGGGTTGGCTGAGGGAACCCAGATGCCTTCTTTGTTTTGACCTCCCAGTAAAGGCAACCTTGGATCTCTGCAAGGCCCCCCGTGAACCCCAACCAGGGACTAGGGAAATAGTGACCCTTTCGTAACATTTCTCGGGTTTGTGAATAATGTGCTCCACAACCCAACACCAAGGGTGAAGGGAGATGAGTCCTGGGAATCTACAGGTGGCAGGACTCCATGGCTTTGTTTCTCTGCCTTAATTCCAACTGCCAGACTACTGCAGTAGCAGCTCAAGGCTGTGTCCTGCCCAGGTCTCTGGGCTCAGCTGCAGCTCAATGTTGCTCACTTCTGCAGGAGAGCTCACCAAGTCTCTCTGCTCCTCCCGGCTGAAGGAAGTACCAGCCACAACCAGATCCCTCCCCTCCCCTGCATCCACGGCTCGCCTGAGCCCTCCTCCCTCCCGCCTCCCCTGTTTGTTCCCACTTGCCCACCTTCAGATGCTGCCATGTGAAGGTCTCTTCGCTGTGCTGGACGTTGAGCAGGGAATCCCAAGCTGAGTTATAGTTGTTCAAATTGTTAAGACTTTAAGGGAAGAAACCAGACGGTTCTCTCACGCCGCCATTCCTCTGGCATCACTCTGCTTTATTTTCTTTAACACAGGCACAACTCCGAGATATTGCCAGTTTGGTCCCAGGGCATTGTAATAAAGCGGTTATTACAATAACCAATCATTGTCTTTTGGTTGATGGAGGGTCTTGCCTTTTGTTTGTCAAAATGCCACCCTTAACCGCTGGCAGTAGCGGACCTGTAACTCCTCCTCCGGGGTCCTCTGGTCCGTGTCCTCCAGGTGACCGTGGCTCCTGAGTAGAGGGTGCGAGCACCTCCGAACACCTCCATCCTCATGACCTCAGCTGCTTTTCAGGAGGTGCTCTGCACGTTGGACCACGACCGACGGGTCCCGGCTCCAGCTCCTTGCCATGGCCCCGGAGAAAGCGCTCCCACGCATGCTCTCATGCTCTCGGGACGTCATGCCTCCAACCAGGCCCTGAACACAGCGTCTCCTGGAGCCAGCCTTCAACCTTCTTCTCCGATTCCCTTCCCCCAGATGTGGGACCAAGAATGGGAGCCAGACCTCCATGGATTACAAGTAAGCTGGTGTGGTAGACAGAACGAAGGCCCCTCAAAGAGGTCCCCTCTCCACCCGCAGAGAGTGGGCATGTGTGACGTTGTAGGCAAAGGAGAAGGAAGGCTGCAGCCCTGCCCACGCCTGAACTCAGTGAGCTCAGTGGCACCCCTTCCAGACTTCTGACCTGCAGCACTGCGAGCCAGCACACCGCATCGCTGTAAGCGGCTAAGCTGTGTCACGCCTAAGCATAGCAAGAGGCAGCGCGTACAGACGGCTTTCGCGAGTAACACGGACGTGTCAGAACAGTCCCACACGTACTGCGATGGCAAGTGTGACAGCATCCAATTCCAGCTTCCCCAGGTGGCCACAGAACACGGAGCTGATGAAACTGATCAGAAACACCATCAGCTGGGCCAGGAACTGGGAAGACAGAAAACAGAAAGTTACATGTGAATGCCAACCATCACAGAGGAGCGGAGTGCGAGTCCTGGGGCGACCCATTCCCCCGCCCCCACCCCACCTCGCCCTCTGAATCAACTCCTTAGGAGCACGGCGCCAGGGTTCAGGGAGCCCTGCGGCTCCCACGGGGAATGGTCAGGTGCTGGGGGGCTTCTTGAAAACATTAAAAGCCCATTTGTAACTGCTCTCAGAGTCCCAGCTTTTCAAATCTATTTTCATGCCACAGATCACATGTGTATTTTTTCCGAGATTTTCAGAGGCTGCCTTCTGAGATTCACAGTGAGAACTGGAGAGAATACAGCCCCCAACTGCCAGCAAGGAGGTCCACGGACAGAGCAGCCGAGGCGGAAGTAAGACCATCCGACCAGACCAGTGGGATCTGGGGTTCGGGGGGCATGTTACCATCGGCCTGCAGAGCCGTTAATTCCTGAATTCTAGGACGCCGCCGCTAGGAGAGCAAGCCCAGCTTCTGAGACACTGAGCTGTTCTCCCTCACCGTTCCAGGCGCCTGCAGGAATGCCGGTTTGTACTCTTATCTTATTTCCTCCCATTAATGTAAAGCCACCTCCCTCCTCTCCTCAGGCCCAGACCCCCTGCCAGATCAGGAAACCCAGGGCACCTTGGGAAAGCCTCTCTCTGGGAGGCCCCTGTGGTCCAAGAGGTGGGATCCCCTGATGCCACTCCCGAGGCAAGGAGCAGGTGCCTGCGGACCGCTGCTGCCCTCTCCGCTCCTCAGGGAAAGGCCTCCTGGGTTCTGGGCACAGACAGCACCGTCTTCTCGGCTCCAAGGAAGCTTCTAGCCCTCCCCTGCGCCAGCCCACCACGGCCAGCACTGCCGAGGGTCAGTCTGAGATGTTGGGACCTAACCAGTCCCCGCCCCAGTCCCCCATGTTTCAGATGGCAGCCCTCTCTCCTTCCCCAAATCTGCATCTGGGGGCAGAGTCTTCAGCTGGAAGACCTGCACATCTTTTCTGCACCGACTTCCAGACCATGACCCAGAGCCTCTCTCACTGCAGGAAACAAGACGCTAATCTCCCTGGCCTCCTGCTCCGCCACAGGCGCTGCTTCTGGAGTGAACTGCAACAGCGAGCCGGAATGAGAGCGGAGACCGGGCCTGAGAGGAGGGCGGGCTGCGTGTGCATGAGGCTGGTCTGAAGCACCCAGCGCCGCAGGCAGAGCCGCAGCCAGAGCAGCGGAGCCGTGGGCCTGGCCAGCCTCGCAGGCGCTCCCCGGGGCTTCGTCCGCAGGAGCGCGGTGTCTCTAACTGCAAATTTATGTCACTTAAAGGTCCCAGGTGCCCTCTTTTTCCTTTTCTGTAACCTCAGCATCTTTCCCATCTGTTCAGGTCCCTGTCCTTTGAGCCTTCACACACACCATACATAGCGATCAGCGGCCCAGGGTCTGCTGCCTGTTCCGAAGCTCTGCGCTCCCACCCTGCCGGCTCCACGTGGAGCCTGGGGGCTCCTCCAGGCCAGGCCTCTGGCTGCTTCGCAGGTTTGGATGTTACAGATCACGTTGCACAGAACACGGTCACAATGGGTGGAGAACGGCGTTTCCTTAGGGTAAACGCCCCGTCCACTGGTGGGAATACAGTCATGTGCCGCATAGTGACATTTGGGTTGATAAATATGATTGAGACTCAGGAACATGGGCCTGTGGGCGGAGCCAGGGTTGTGGGCGGGGCCAGGCTGTGGGTGGGGCCAGGGCTCTTGGGAGCCGTATTGCACTCCTCACTGAGAGCCCCGCAGAAGAAAGCGTGCTGACAAAGCTCTCTGGCCTAACTGTCCCTCCGCTTAACTTCCTCTTCCCTCTGCATACACTTCCCCATAGAGCAGTGTGCACACAGCTTGTAACGTCTGCATGCACACAATAGTTGCAACCCTTTTCCCCATTGTATGAATGCACCATCACTTATGAACTAAACCCATGGGTGTCCACAGAATGAACTTCTTATGTACACACATTTCTTTGTACACTTGGGGGAAGAGGCCCTTTCAGAGAAATCCCTAGAGGTATAACTGTATTTCAAGTTTGCATAGATAGTGCCAAAGGGTGTGTGTGCGTGCGTGTGTGTGTGTGTGTGTGTGGAGGGTTTGGGGAGGGAGGAAAAGTTAAGCCAGCCTCCGCACCCCCAGATTTCAAGCTCCCTTCAGACCAGGGCGTGCTGTGAGGGAGGTATTGTAGCGCCCTGCCTGTGGAAGCAGCACATAAAGCTCCAGCACTTGGCAGAAGACTCGCAGACCTGGACGAGCTGCGCTGGCCCTCTGCACCCGGGACGGAGCCCCTGCCGGGCGGCCTGCGGCTGGTGAGGGCTTCTCACTGGCGCAGGCAGAGTGGTGAACAGCTCCCAGGATACTCCCAGGACTGACCCAGGAGGGAGGCGGGCTGAGACAGGAGTGATGCAGGAAGGGACCTGGGGACAGACCTGCCCGAAGCCCTGCGTCTCCCCTCGGGCGACCCCTGAGCCCTCTGACTGGGACCCGCCCCCGGCTCCTGGGCTCCCGGAGAGGAAGCAGAAGTCTGGGGCCAGAACCTCCTGCTGTTGGGGCTCCACTTTTGATTGGTTTATCCAGGCTCCTGGCCTAGACCTGGGTCTATCCCAACTTTTTATTTTCCCCCAAATTAATCGTTTTTGGCCATGAAACACCGAGTCAATATTATTTTTCATCCGACACGGCCTCTGAGGAACCTGATCCTCGGCGGCGTTCCATGGGATTGTAGTGGAGCTGAAACCTCACTGTGACCTGACATCGAGCTGCCACGAGCAGGGAGCGTCTGGAGGGAGCCTCATACACGTTCTGTGTCTCTGAGGCAGGACAGGCGGCACAGAGAACTGAGGCAGGCGGCGAGCCAGGGCAGGCGGCACAGAGAAACTGAGGCAGACGGCGGGCCAGGGCAGGCGGCACAGAGAAACTGAGGCAGGCGGCGGGCCAGGGCAGGCGGCACAGAGAAACTGAGGCAGACAGCTAACGGCCAAGCAGTTTACACACAAGCAGTTTAAGCCATCTAGTAACTGCAAAGTCCCAACTTTTTATTTTCCCCCAAATTAATCGTTTTTGGCCATGAAACACCGAGTCAATAACGCTTAGGAAAGGGGTTCACACTTCTCCCAGCCAGAGGTGAACAGCTTAAATCTCCCACCACAGGGCGGCCGACAGCGGAACCCGTCTGTGCCCTTGGTGCCAGCCCCACCGCGGGCAGACGCAGTCAGGGGAATACACCCCATCCTGGCGCCTCAGCGTGAAGCCGGTGGGGGTCCTGCTGAGATAACCCACAGGACCTGCCCAAAGTTCCCAGCCTGAAATCCTCCAGACGGCTGGCCAGGCAGCTCAGTGAGCGGGAGCACTGCCTGGAAACCACACGTTTCTGGGTTCAATTCCTGGTGAGGGCACAGACCTGGGCTGCAGGTTTGATCCCTGGTGGGGTCCTATGGGAGGAAGCAACTGATTGATGTTTCTCTCTTTCTCCATCTCCCTCCCCTCTTTCCTCTCTCTCACAAGTCAATAAAAACATACCCTCTTGCCCTGGCCAGTACGGCAGTTGGTTGGGGGCCACCCCATGCGCTTGGAGGCTGCGGCTTGCCTGAGTTGCAGGCTGGATCCCTGGTAGGCAGAGTGAAGGAAGCAGCCAATCAAAGTTCCACTTTTGCTCTCACATCGATGTTGCGTTCTCTCTCTCTCTCTCTCTCTCTCTCTCTCTCTCTCTCTCTCTCTCTCTCTCTCCCTCTCCCTCTCTCCTCTCTCTCTCTCCTTTCCCCTTTCTTAAAAAACAACAATCATTCCAGACAGTGTGGATCAGTGGTTGAGTATCAATCTATGATCCAGGAGGTCATGCCCAGGTTCCCGGTCAGGGCACAAGCCCAGGTTGCAGGCTTGATCCCAAGTGGGGAGGAGTGAGTGTGCAGGAGGCAGCCAATCAATGATTCTCGCTCATCATTAATGTTTCTGTCTTTTCTCTCCCTCTGCCTTCCTCTCTGCAATCAATAAAAATACATATTTTTTAAAAAGCTTTCAGGATGGAGGACCCTGTGGGCTCTCCCTCCCAGAAGCACACCCTCGCCTGGTCACGGACCAGACCTTCAGAGCTGCCCATCCCGGACACTGTGTGCCCCGGGGACTGACCGCCTGCACCCGGGCTTGTCCCCCAGAGCCCAGAGCTCTCAACCGCCTGAACCACAGGGCTCAGATGCAGCCAAACTGCCCACAAGAGAAAGGTCGAGCCTGGGCCTGCCTGTTCCGTGTCCTCTGCCCGCAGCCCAGCCAGCGCCTGCAGCTGCTCCTCACTCGGCGGGCCTCTGCCCGCAGCCCTGGCGGTTCCCAGCGCCCGTGTACCCCCTTCTCCGCTGATGAAACCAGCGCCCGGCTGGGCCAGGTCTCGCTGGCACAGCCGCGCAGGGACAGGCGGGCCCCTCGAGACTGTTTTCCAGCTTTTTGACAATCAGCGGGCGGTGAGCTGTTAACACGGAGGAAGTCTGATGGGAACACCCATGGCTTGGCCCCTTCCCTCCCTCACACCCGCACCCTCCCCACAGCTTCCTGGGGCGGGGCGGGCCAGCTCACGCTCTGTCCTGCATTGCCCTCTGCCAGGCCCCGGGGGAAACCCCTGGGAGGGTGCTGGGCGCTGCCACCTTGGTGAACCCTCTGGGATACGCAGGCTCAGCTGGAAGGCTGTAGGGCGACGGGGCGGGAGAGGGGTCAGAGGGAACCCAGACCGGGCGTCCTGTCCAGCACAGGGGCCGGAGAGCAGAGTGCGGGAGGGCACAGAGGCCAGGACACCCTTATCCTGGCCCCGGGGGAGGGCTGTGCGGCGGGAACGGAGTTGGGAGCAGCAGGGCTCATGTACAATCCTGAGGGACTAAGCAGGTGCCGGAGCCTCTGACCTCGCTGGGTAGAGCAGCCACAGAAACACACAGAACTGGGAGGGCAGTGCCAAGTTTCCTCCCAGCGCTGAAGTGGCAGAGCTTTGCTCTTGCTTACCTTGGCTTTCTGTGTTCTACAAGGCATGAACCACACTGGTACGTAATGCAGTTATGTACGTATACACGGTGACATGCAACATACAAGGCGTAGCATGCAGCCCAGTGCTCAGCCCTGGAGGCCCGGAAGGTCCTGGGCCAAGGGGGCTGGTCACTGCGGGAGTGGGCAGCGGTGAGGGCCCATCCGGCTGGTCTCCCAAAGCTGCTGGGCAGTGACAGCCTCGCCAGCCCCCCTCACGGTGGCGCTGCAGTGGCGAGCCCACTAGGTGATTGCCCTCACGTGCTGGGCGAGTGCACAGAGGGGACAGGGGAGGCCTCCTGCTGTGACCTGGGGACCTGGCGGTCCCCCCGCCCCCCGAACCCCCCATCCCTGGAGATCTTGGTCCGGCCTTCTCGGTCCCTTTGTGGGAGCTCCACAAACTTCTTTCTGCCCATGGGCGCTGCCCCTGGCCATGTTCGCGCCACTGTGCACCCCACATGGGTACCCCAGGACCCGAACACGGCCACCACGCCAGAGGCACCCTGGCCACAGGCTTGGCAGGTGCAGGGCTGCTGGGCCAGGGGCTTGTTTGTGCCCTGAAGCCGCACAGGTGGCACCTGCACTGACCTCACCTACGGACTGGAAACCACCGCCTGGGTCACATTTCTCGTGGGTCGTGTGGTGTTAAAGCCCGCATCGCTTTACTAGAGAACGCAGGAAGCCCTCCCCGGAGGAATCAGTAAATAAACTCAACCAAACTGCTGAGCACGACCCCCGGGGGCCGGGCTGGCAGGATGGGAACCCCCACGTCCCAGCTCAGCGGCTCCGGGTGGACATGTCCGGAGCTCTCCGCCCCCCACAGGGAGCCCTCAGCCCCCACAGGGAGCCCTCAGCCCCCGCAGGGAGTCCTCAGCCCCAGGGAGCCCTCAGCCCCCCACAGGGAGCCCTCAGCCCACGCAGGGAGCCCTCAGCCCAAAGGGAGTCCTCAGCCCACAGGGAGCCCTCAGCCCCTCACAGGGAGCCCTCAGCCCCTCACAGGGAGCCCTCAGCCCCCTCAGGGAGTCCTCAGCCCACAGGGAGCCCTCAGCCCACAGGAGCCCTCAGCCCCCCGCAGGGAGCCTCAGCCCCCCGCAGGGAGCCTCAGCCCCCCGCAGGGAGCCTCAGCCCATAGAGAGTCCTCAGCCCACAGGAGCCCTCAGCCCCCCACAGGGAGCCCTCAGCCCTCCACAGGGAGCCCTCAGCCCCTCACAGGGAGCCCTCAGGCCCCACAGGGAGCCCTCAGCCCCTCACAGGGAGCACTCAGCCCCCACAGGGAGCCTTCAGCCCCCCACAGGGAGCCCTCAGCCCCCCGCAGGGAGCCCTCAGCCCCCCGCAGGGAGCCCTCAGCCCCCACAGGGAGCCCTCAGCCCCCCACAGGGAGCCCTCAGCCCCTCACAGGGAGCCCTCAGTCCCTCACAGGGAACCCTCAGCCCCCACAGGGAGCCCTCAGCCCACGCAGGGAGCCCTCAGGCCCCACAGGGAGCCCTCAGCCCCTCACAGGGAGCACTCAGCCCCCACAGGGAGCCTTCAGCCCCCCACAGGGAGCCCTCAGCCCCCCGCAGGGAGCCCTCAGCCCCCCGCAGGGAGCCCTCAGCCCCCACAGGGAGCCCTCAGCCCCCCACAGGGAGCCCTCAGCCCCCCACAGGGAGCCCTCAGCCCACGCAGGGAGCCCTCAGCCCAAAGGGAGTCCTCAGCCCACAGGGAGCCCTCAGCCCCTCACAGGGAGCCCTCAGCCCCTCACAGGGAGCCCTCAGCCCCCTCAGGGAGTCCTCAGCCCACAGGGAGCCCTCAGCCCACAGGAGCCCTCAGCCCCCCGCAGGGAGCCTCAGCCCCCCGCAGGGAGCCTCAGCCCCCCGCAGGGAGCCTCAGCCCATAGAGAGTCCTCAGCCCACAGGAGCCCTCAGCCCCCCACAGGGAGCCCTCAGCCCTCCACAGGGAGCCCTCAGCCCCTCACAGGGAGCCCTCAGGCCCCACAGGGAGCCCTCAGCCCCTCACAGGGAGCACTCAGCCCCCACAGGGAGCCTTCAGCCCCCCACAGGGAGCCCTCAGCCCCCCGCAGGGAGCCCTCAGCCCCTCACAGGAAGCCCTCAGCCCCCACAGGGAGCCCTCAGCCCCCACAGGGAGCCCTCAGCCCCCCACAGGGAGCCCTCAGCCCCCTCAGGGAGCCCTCAGCCCCCCACAGGGAGCCCTCAGCCCCCACAGGGAGCCCTCAACCCCCACAGGGAGCCCTCAGCCCCCCACAGGGAGCCCTCAGCCCGCTCAGGGAGCCCTCAGCCCCCTCAGGGAGCCCTCAGCCCACGGGGAGCCCTCAGCCCCCACAGGGAGCCCTCAGCCCCTCACAGGGAGCCCTCAGCCCCCTCAGGGAGTCCTCAGCCCCCTCAGGGAGTCCTCAGCCCCCCACAGGGAGCCCTCAGCCCCCACAGGGAGCCCTCAGCCCCCACAGGGAGCCCTCAGCCCCCCCGCAGGGAGCCCTCAGCCCCCCGCAGGGAGCCCTCAGCCCCAACAGGGAGTCCTCAGCCCACAGGAGCCCTCAGCCCACAGGAGCCCTCAGTCCCCCGCAGGGAGCCCTCAGCCCCTCACAGGGAGCCCTCAGCCCCCCGCAGGGAGCCGCCTGCCCGCCCGCCGGGTGACTTCCCTCCCTCGGCCCGGGGCTGCGTGTCGGTGCCCGGTGTTAGGCGTTTCGGGTGACTTGCTGCTTCTCAAAGTGCACGCAGGAGGAGAGGGTGGGCCGAGCCCTCCGGCCCAGGTCCCGCTGCCTGAGCCCCCAAAGCCGCGCCAGCCAGCTGCGCCCGAGCCCCCCCTGGGTACGCACCCCGGTGCCGGCCCCGGCCCGCTCCCCGGCCTCCCGCCCCGGGGACAAGGTCACCGCCCGGCCCCCCGCCCCAGCCCCGGGGACAAGGTCACCGCCCGGCCCCCCGCCCCGGGGACAAGGTCACCGCCCGGCCCCCCGCCCCAGCCCCGGGGACAAGGTCACCGCCCGGCTCACCGCGGGGCCCGCCAGCACCAGCAGCGCCCGCAGCTCCTCTCGGACGTGGCGCCAGCGCAGGCGGCGCTCGGGGTTGGCCTCCGGGGCTCGGGGCCGGGCCGCGGGCTCCGCCGGCGTCTCCATGCGGCCGCCGCGCCCGGGTGCCCGAGTGCGGGGCAGCGGGGAGGCAGGGCCCGCGGCGCCTCCCGGTCCCGCCCCGGCCCGCCCTCCCCGCCCTGGCCAGGTAGGCGCGCCGCCAGCCGCGGGAGGGCCGGGCGACCCTTGCTCCCTGCGCGCGGGCTCGGGGACCCGCTCCAAACGCGTGGAGCCCGGCGCCGCGGGCTCGGGGACCCGCTCCAAACGCCGTGGAGCCCGGCGCCGCGGGCTCGGCGCCTGGCGGGGCGGAGGGGCTGAGGCTGGGAGCCAGGCCCCCGCTGGCGCCGCCGGGCGCAGGCTCCGCGCCCGCCCCGGACCCTCAGCACAGCCCAGCACGTGCTTGGGGACGGAGTTGGACACATACGCACACACACACACACACACGCGCGCGCGCGCGCACATACACACACACACACACACACACACACGCACACACGCGGCTGCATAGAGGACGTGCCGTCCACCTGGAGGTCTCTCCCGGCTGGAACTGTGGCTTCGGGGCCTGGCGGTCACGCTGCAGAGGAGCTCAGCTCCGGAGACTCTGGCAGCTCCCGGTCCTCCGCCCCGCGCCACGGAGGGTCCGGTCCCCGCCGACCAGGCCGCGGACCAGTCACCTCGCACTGGGGCAGAGCCTCCGAACACCTTTTGGTGTGTCTTTATGTGAATAAATCTAATGTGAAATTCATGGGTGTTTGTTTATGAGTTTGGGAAAGACCTGAGTTAGTGGAAAGCACGTGCTGTCCTTTTCCCATGCCGGCGCCAGTCTCTACCCCAAAGGATTCGCCCTTTGAACGGTTCTAGCATCAGCGCTTATTATCATACCGTTCATTTTCAAAATGTAAAAGGACCCACAGAAATGACTATTTTGCCAATGTCTGATTGAAGCAGATGACCCCTGTGGCCCAGGCACTGCTGATAACCTGAAGCAATGGAGTCGCAAACATCAAAAGTCATTTCGCTTGAGCCCTAACCGGTTTGGATCAGTGGGGAGATGCACCGTGGTTGCAGGCACCGTAGGGAGTGTGCAGGAGGCAGCTGATTGGTGTTTCTGACTTTCTATCCTTCTCCCTTCCTTCCTGTAAAAAAAAAAAAAAAAAAAAAAAAAAAAAGCAATAAAATACATTTAAAAAAAGGATCATTTAGCTTGATATTTGTGCACCTTTGCCAGCTTTGTGCTTTTCTGTTTGCCCATAAAAATTTACTGGATAGCCCAAACTGGTTTGGCTCAGTGGACTGAAAGATCCCGGGTTTGATTACGGTCAAGGGCATGTATCTTGATTGTGGGTACATCCCCAGTGGGGGGTGTGCAGGAGGCAGCTGATTGATGTTTCTCTCTCATCGATGTTTCTAACTCTCTATCCCTCTCTTCCTCTCTGTAAAAAAATCAATAAAATATATATTTTTTAAAAGTCTACTGGATAAATTGTCCTTGTTCAAAGGTTAGGCTGGTTTCACCCGTTACTGGGGACGTCCTAAAAATGTAGACACACTTTGAATAATTATAAAAGACAGTGTTTGTGCTTCAATTGTATTCCTGAACTCCCAGGAGCATTTCAGGATGAACTTCCCTTGTTCACAGCTTAGTCTGGCTGAACAGAAAGCAGCATCAGTTGGGCTGCCAGCTGTGAAAGTGTGTACATGTGTCTGGGACACCTACTTCCTGTTTTAAATGTTTAATAGTGATTCTAAAGACTCTGAGAGTATAAAAGGCAAGGATAGGGGAAAAAAATTAGGGAAAAACAACATCAATACAGAGTAATGGGGAAAGAAGTAACTTTATTAATCAATAAGTAGTTTTTAAAACAGTATGCAGTGAGCACAAGACTATACAGCTAGATACGGGAGCAATAGGCACCCAAGAAATTGACCTCATTGTTATGGTCTAATGTCACCTCTGAGAAGGCCACTGAACCTGGTGAAGAAGAAAAGGTTTACACTACAAGTGTCATGGGTGCAGGCGTGCCAGGCGCCTCCCAAGATGGGAATCCAGGTGATTCACCAGAAACGCTCCTCACGCAGGGAGCAGCCCAGGAAAAGGCTGGGAACAGCTCTGAAGCAGTGGAGGCTGGGAAGTTGAGGTCTAAGTGTGTAGAGGCTGAGATTCACCTGCTTTTTCATGTGTCACGTGTCTCATTAGGAAGTTAATGCTCCGCTCGGAGGTGAGCTTTCTGCTTTGATGATGAGGGCTCTACCTGATTCAGACGCTGAAAAAAAACCTGCTGGATCTGGAAAGTGCTGGGGTTTTTATTGACATTACATTGCATCCGTAACCTATTCAGAAAGAATGATTAAATACTGAGCCTTCTAATCACACCCCTAATCCAGTCAGTTTATGGGATTCCCCTAAATGCCGCTGCTTAGTAATGGGGTTTCTGGGAAAGGCCTCGTAGGTGATTTCCAGGTCATATAAGATCCTCAGAGGGGAGGGAAATAACTCTCTCCACCCTCGGGTTCCTGCTGAGCCTGTCTGGAATAAAAGACAGACCGACAGAGAGAGACAAATAGAGTAACTCATCAAAACGGCAGGAGCCAGTACCTGAAACACCATTTTCAGTGGAAGACAGAGGAAGAAGAGATTGGGGTGGGGGTGTGGTATCGCAAGTCAGCGCGCTGGACTAATGAGCCCATTGGTTAGGAGTCCTCTTCATTGGATGCAGGTTCAGAGCAGATTATCTGTCACATCCCGAACAAACACAGGAGGGAGTGTTTCCTCTTTATATCCTTCCAGTTCTTTGTGTAACACAGCTTGTACCCTTGAATACATATCATATCTATACAGACACCTGTAATCTTGAGTATCATATCTATACAGGCACCTGGCATCAATACCAGCCTATCAGTTAGATGGCTAGCCTGCAAGGTCAGACAATTAAGTTTATCTTTTCTATTCAAGCAAAAAACAGAGTTACTTTACAGTCTAGAAATAACAGAGGTGCCAAAACTGGTTTGGCTCAGTGAAAAGAGCCAAATCATTGATCGGTTGCCTCCTGCATGTCTCCCAATGGGGCTCAATCCCGCAACACAGGCATGTGCTCCTAACCAAAATCGAACCCCGGACCCTTCAGTCCCCAAGCCGATGCTCTATCCACTGAGCCACACCAGCTTGCAGACTGGAGGGTCCCAGGTTCGATTCCAGTCAAAGGCATGTACCTTGGTTGCAGGTACATCCCCAGTGGGGGGGTGCAGGAGGCATGAAATGTTTCTCTCTCATCGATGTTTCTAGCTCTCTATCCCTGTCCCTTCCTCTCTGTAAAAAAATCAATAAAATATATTTTTAAAAAGAAATAACAGAGGTGACCTACAGATTAAGAGACTGTCTAAGAATAACAGAGTAGTTCAAACAGCAGCTTTTCCAAAGGAGGGACCACTATGCTTCAGAGGGAGTTGGGTATGGGAGGTGACGAGGAAAAAAGCAGATTTAAGTCAGGGTCTGCATTGATAGAGTTTTGGTAACCTAAAACTAAAGGGAGAGGCCACGAGCATTACTGAGACCAGTAAGAATAGGACACGGAAGCACTGAGCCTGGCAGGAGTCCACACGGTGCTGTGATTCAGAGAAAAGGCGGAGGTGCTGGTGAGAGGGAAAGGGGACAGTGACAGTGACAGTGACAGAGGCAGAGGAAGGCATTTCTGTTGGCACAGGTAACACACACACTGGTGCTGATTCTAATAAATGTCTAATAAGTAGTCACAATAACTGCTTTCTTATTATCTGCACACACAGGTTTTTGAGGCACACATTGTTTTAGGCCCCATCGAAATATTATTTTGCCTTTTTAACGTTCCAGAGATTGGCCTATTGTTATTGGTGAGATGATGCATTCTTATCTTCTTGAGGGAAAGCCTTCAATCAAAAGTCAAAGTGTGGCAAAGCCAGCGGGATGTCCCTCAGGACAGGGACACAGGAGGGCTCCGCGCTGGAGCAGAGCAGGCGGGGTCAGAGGGCGGGCCTGGGACGAGCTGTGCTGCCCTCGCTCCTCCAGGTTCAGGGGGGCCCTTCGAGGTCAGGTGTTTTGTAGGCTCATTTTGTTTTTTAGGTTCCACATATAAATAAGTGAAATCATATAGTATTTGTCTTTGTCTGACTTATGTTACTTAGCATAATACCTACTATATACATCTGTTGTTGCAAATGGCAAGATACTATTTTTTAAAATATTTATTTTATTTTATTTTTTTTAAAGTATATGTTTATACATTTTATTGATTTTTTACAGAGAGGAAGGAAGAGGGATGAGAGAGAAACATCGACCAGCTGCCTCCTGCACAACCCCTACCTGGGATGTGCCTGCAACCAAGGTACATGCCCTTGACCAGAATCGAACCCGGGACCTTTCAGTCCGCAGACCAACGCTCTATCACTGAGCCAAACCGGTTTCAGCATTTTTTTTTTTTTTATTGATTTCAGAGAAGAAGGAAGAGGGAAAGAGAGATTGAAACATCAATGATGAGAGAGAATCATTGATCGGTTGCCTCCTGCATGTCTCCCAATGGGGCTCAATCCCGCAACACAGGCATGTGCTCCTAACCAAAATCGAACCCCGGACCCTTCAGTCCCCAAGCCGATGCTCTATCCACTGAGCCACACCAGCCAGGGCTGTGTCCAAACATGGAAACATGAGAACACTTAAGGTGTTGGTCCTCTGCCAGTTTCTTTAATAGAATTGTTGTTATTTTTTATGTTAAGTTGTATGAGTTCCCTATATATTTTAGATATTAACCCCTTACCAATATATCATTAACAAATATCTTCCTCTATTCAGTAGGTTGTCTTTCATTTTTTTATAAGAAGAAAAGACTGTGGTTTTATTTTCAAATTTTTAGAAATGGTTTTCAGAAAAAAATAAAATGACAAGAACACCATTTAAAAAAAACTGAAATCTTTCATTGAATGATGAACTCTTAGCAGAGAAAGGTATTGTGAAGTGTTTGACTCCCTGTCCTTCTGGAATCACTTCTAAAATGCTCTCGCTGGCTTGGCTCAGTGGA